ATCTCACATAGAAAGGGATACGGGAAAAGAACCTCGTTGATTTCATGTTCTTTCGTGTTTTTACACGTATAACATTGTTTGAATTTTTTCGTTAAACAAAAATAATTGAAAACTAAAAAAAAAAAAATGCCCTCCATTATAAAACTAAAGACTGGAGTAGTTCATTAAACTTTTAGCTCTGTACTGAGCAATAACCCCGAACGAATTATTAATCACGTGAAAAAATAATTATTACAGAACAATTACGTGAACAATTTCGTAGTAATTCTTAGTTGTGTGAAGCACGAACCAAAATTAAAAATAGCCTTACGTTATTAGTCACTGTGAAAGAACAACAACAACAAAAAAACAGTTTTTAAAAGTAGTGAAATAACTATTTGACAACATGTGAAAAACAAAGCTTTCTGAACAGATTGTAGTAGTTGTTAATGGTGTAAAACACAAAACAGTAATTGCTTTTACTGTTAATTATGAAAAGGTTAAAACATATAAATAACAACTTGCGATGTTTTTAACATAAGTTATAAAAATAATAAAATACTAGAAGCTTATTACAAGATATGTTAAAAATATAACTACTTATAAGAACTTATTATTATATGGGACAATTATGGTTTAGTGTGGTTAACGTGCTGGGCTGTGGGTCAAAAGGTCAAATGTTCGACCTGTTTAACACGTTCTACACTTTTAATTGTGGTGGTGGAGGGTTATAACTGTGATGTTCAATCCCACTATTCGCTTGTGTAGTCACTTAGACCAGGTCTCGAGAAATCCCGGTGACTAAAAATTTCATCTTCGCGCCTTGTATTTTTCTCCCATTTTGCTTGTGCGTAGGACTATGCTAGATAGAACTCGAATCTAGAACATTTCTGGACTCTTGAAAGTCGGGAACTATTTTCGCATTATTTGAGTCCTTAATCGAACTTTGTTTCTAGGATTTTAATGGTGGATTCAACACTTCTTCATGTTGTTGTTGTTATATTTTCAGGAATGAAGCACCGCGATTGCGCAACAAGTTACTAATTTGGCGCCATTTTGTTTTTCTTCTTTCCCTCATTTCAACCAATCAGTACACGTGTTTAGACTAATGCGGAATCAAAGGAAGTTAATTCAGGCAATACTATCAAGAGGTTGCTTATATAATGTGATCGCTAACATGCACTCGTTGCTGTGAAAGTAAATAAATATACACAGGTGCTTCGATTATCCGCGCTGGTCCGGAAAAAGCAAAAATCGCGGATAACAGAAACAGCGGATAATCGAGGCACTAGTGTATCTCACCAGTTTGTTTGTTTGTGTGTTTTTGAATTTCGCATAAAGCTACAAGAGGGCTATCTGCGCTAGCCGTCCCTCATTTTGCAGTGTAAGACTAAAGGGAAGGCAGCTAGTCATCACCACCCACCGCCAACTCTTGGGCTACTTTTTTATCAACGAATAGTGGGATTGACCGTCACATCATAACGTCCCACGGCTGAAAGGGCGAGCATGTTTGGTGGAACGGGGATGCAAACGCGCGACCCACAGATTGCGAGTCGAGCATCCTAACCACCTGGCTATGCCGGGCTATCTCACCAGTTAGCCCATTGTTTAATCTAAATAAAAATTTTAAATTATTTATTAAGTTCCTTGCTTTCAGTTATAATCTTTTTACTAACATTTAAAGACATTATCATGAAAAATTATAAAAGTCGTCACAATCATCACAATAATAAAAGCCACGTGTCGGTCAGTCAGTCAGTTAGTCACGCTCGATTTCTCCAAATTTCGTGAGTTACACGAGTCCAATTCCACTTTTTATCTTCTAATAGTTCTTCTTTGGATTGCCCGTTCCGTTTTAGTTTAATTTAATCGCTAAATAAGCGTAAATAGCTACTAACTTTCAGCACTTTTTCTGCTATAGAAACAGAAGTGCATTCGCACCCTATCAACGCCAGTGAAAAATAAGTAAAAAATTAGCGCAAATTTATGCTTTGGAATTATTACGAAAAAGCCTTTGTTAAAACAAACTGAAGATACCAATTATTTATAGGGAAGAAGACAAAGTGTAACTGGGCGACACCCCAATACAACCTGAACATGCATCTGTGGTTAAAGAACGCCTACCATGCAGCATTGAACAGCTGAAGACAAGTTGAGTGAAATCTTTAAGAAAGCTTAAAGAGTATTTTTATGTTTTTGTATACTATGATTTTAATCAATAATCAAATATAGTTAACCAAGGGACAAGTATTTTGTATTCCTTTCTTAACAGCTAAAAATAAAAGAGGCAAGGCTAGGCTTGAACCGGCCGACTTACGATTTGAACGCACGCCAGATCCTGCACGCGAACCCCAGATATCATGCAACACTTAAACTTTTGCAACCAAAATTAAGTTCTGAACAACAATTTCTCCAAAAATGTAAATTATTGTCTAGAATTGTAATTGCACAATTATTTTGAGACAACTTGGGGGGGGGGGGAAGCGGATAATCGAGGTACTAGTGTAGTACAAACGACAGTGAAGTTAGGTTAGGCACATCTGGCTCCTGACTTTTGAAGCTGACTCCTAGATCTGAAAACATTTGTCGAGGCCTGGTATAGACTGTGGGTTTTTCTGGCTAGTTCCGTTTCTTATGGTCAGCAGTTCTAAATGAGGTATGCCCATGACTGAATCTTACAGGTCTCTAATTTGACATTTAATTCAGGTTTCAATTCCGAACCCCAAAATTAATATTACGCTTGTGAAAAAATGTTTATTGTGTAAAGCGGAAAAAAATCTAAAATTGATAGAGTAAATGTGTTTTCATGCACGCAGTTTCGTTCGTTATTCTAGTAACAGAATATAGTACTTTTGATGTTATATCTTGAGTTATATAAGTAATTATAGGCTTAAAATCAATTCCGTTTACAAAGGTTGCTTTTGCAACTCAATGACATATAATTATGGTTACGTAAAAATTTAATATCCATACGTATTTCTATAAGCAATGTTCGTAAGTTTTGTTTGTTTTTCTTTGCCACTTATCCCTGATAAAGGAAATTCCACATCCCGAAAGCGGTCGGGTTATTGAGTTTCTTTTCTGATACTAAATTATAGCATGACATTTATTATTGCCTTATTTTAACTTACTGTGACTTTCTTTAGTTGAGACATCCGCTGTTCTGTTAAAAGTCAATAAGTCAAATTCATGCAACAGTTCACTAAATGTAAATAAAAATTTGACAAGAAAACTAACAAAACGAACGATTATATTCTGAAAAACTAGTCTTAAATAACCCGGGTGCCTTTTTTATCAATTTACTTTAATGTTTCAATCCAAATAACCAGTTAAAAAGATTGTGTTCTGATTTCTTGTAAACGTATTTTATTATTTTTGATTACTTATCATTTTGAACAGAAATGAACAAATTATTTTTACACGTGTTCTTAAGCAAACATGTCATTTAAAAAAAAATCAAAGCCTATAAATTGTCTGAATCGCTACGCTAATATGGTTCAGCACTCTCTTGTCGAAACGAAAATCCTCCAGAGTGTTTGTTTATTTCAACAGATAAATTAAAACTGAAGGTGATGGGTCCAACTTTCTAATGTTCTCGTGTCTTTTGGATCACTTATGGAATTAATGCTAAAAAGAAAATTTTTATTGCTATAAAAATCTTGGCAATATGTCTAATTGTCACAGTCTACTAAGACTAAACATCATCGACAGTTTATTATATTCCACTCTCTTGTAACAAACACTGATAATTCGATGACGAGGAACCCACTTTGAGACTAATAATGGTTGGAGACGGCTTGAATGGGTAATGAAGATGACAAAACCTTGTCGAAACGTTGTACATTTGCTGTTTGTTAAAGTTTTTCTTCATTACCCATTCAAGCCGTCTCCAACCATTATTAAACACTGATAATGTTTCTCTAAGTTAGTATTTTCATGTCTACGAAGGAAAAGTATATTTTACAGGGGCATTTTTACTTTTCTTTTCTTATATAGTCAGGAAAAGACTATTGAATCTGTATATTACTATGTATATGTTTTACTTAGTATAGTCATCACACACATTTGTATCGTTTTCTATATTCATTTGCTTCTATTGTAATTGGTCTGCAAACAATCAGTCGTAATAAGTTAACTATACACACGTTGAAATACACTTTTGTTGAATCCCACACATCGTCAGTTCTACAGCACACACATTCACAACACCGATGTTGAATCCCACACATCCTCAGTTCTACAATACACATATACACAACACCGATGTTGAATCCCACACATCCTCAGTTCTACAATACACATATACACAACTCCGATGTTGAATCCCACACATCCTCAGTTCTACAATACACATATACACAACACCGATGTTGAATCCTACACATCCTCAGTTCTACAATACACATATACACAACACCGATGTTGAATCCTACACATCATCAATCGTACAATACACACACACAGCACAACGCTAAAAAATACGAAAAGTAAATTTCAGATGTTCAGTAACGTAGAAAGTAATAACAAGAAATGTAAACACAATTGTATCTCACCATTTTATATTTACTTTTAAAAACCTAATTCCACAAGCGAATGTTATAAGAACAAAGAAATGTGTATCATATTTACGGTTTATTACTGTTTAGATGTTACAATTAACAAGCTATACGTCGATAAAGAATATATCCTAACATAAATGAGTTCTCATTTTCTTCTTAACTTGTTCGTGACTTTTTGAGCTATTTCATTTAGAAATTTCAGTGAATTATGAAAAAAGTTTAGAAAGGCATGCATTTGAAAAAATACAGAATTATCAGGTGAAAGGCTTAACAACTAAAAAATAAACAATAGAAGTAAACTTAGTAAACAACACTACCGTGATAAAAGTTTCTTTGCGACATTTTTAGAAATTTAGTTTATTTTTTCATTACAGTTTTCCAAACTGAAAATTTTAACTTAAGCGAAAATGTCAAAACCATTTATGGTAAACATGAAAGACAAAAACGAGCCTTTTTACTCACCAGTAAGTTTTTCCCACAGAACAAAACCGAAGAAGAATCCGGTAAGCAAAGAACAGTAAGGTGAAGACTTCATATTAGGTATTAGTCAATTATTCTCGAGTTGCAGCTTGTAAGAATGGTTACATCTTCGCTCGATTGAAACCTAACTTATTTAGAGTCTCCACAGCCATACAGTTGCCTTTACCTCGCGTTCGCCTGAGTGACGTTCTGTAAGCGTCAGAGAGGAGAATTTTCTGTCAAATGTTCCTTCGCTCGCGTCTCAGAAAAGCAAGTGATTCTGATTCTTGTTTAGTTCCACCACAAATTGGAGATTTCCCATCATTACGCAGATTTCACAAACCTTGTTTCACAGCAGCGCCATCTGTCGAAATTTCGATGAAACCTTCTACATATTTAACGGACCATTAGGCTAACAAATCGAATAGGTACATAGTGTCGTGTATTACGTAAAATTATAGGTAATGTAACAACAAACGTTGTATTTATCTCGGAAATTCAAGTAAGTATTCACGAGAAAATTCCAGTTGCACAGTGTTTTGATTGACTTGAACTTAGAATTTATTTTTATTTCACACCTTATAAATAAATCAAAATAATATTTTGATGACAATGGAAATTTCCTTATTTACAACTGATCTTTGTTTTGTTTTTTGCTCTTACTAAATAATAAAACCATTGTAACAGTTGGTAAAAAGTAAAGAGATCTGAGAATCCGATTGATAAGAGTGATAACTCTGACTCATTGAAACTAGCCTAACCATTGTAACAGTTGGTAAAAAGTAAAGAGATATGAGAATCCGATTGATAAGAGTGATAACTCTGACTCATTGAAACTAGCCTAAAAATGAGACTGTATAATTCTCCTTTTAGTGAGGCCAAAGACATGAAATGAACGTAAAACAATCAGTTAGAGAGGAGGTTAAAACTAGTTGTATACGAGAAAATATATAATAACAACTACAATAGAAAAGGCTTAGATGTTTTAGACTTAGAGTACCTTCATCGTTTCATATCGGAAATAATCAAGAAAAGTCTTATTATTTATACTAACCTATTATTACCATGGAAATTGCTATTGACATTTAAAACAATTCTCTGGAAGTGATTAAATAGGGTTCACTATATAAAATAAAGCAACACACTGAACATTTAGCATTTTAGTTATTAACGAGCTTTAACCGCAAGAAAAAGTACATTATTTTTTCGAGTCTAACACATACAATTTAGTGAGGTGAGCTATTTGTGGGAGAGTTTAATAAAATGTTTTTAATCGTTTTAACTTCTGCTAATAGTGTTACAAACTTTTTAAATATTTTTCCCATGGATTTAAGTTTTTTAAATGAAGTATTAAATTATTAAGCAGATACTAATCTGTTTGTTTTTGGAACCTTACTCTTAATATACACATATTACTGTAAGGTGTTCGTCGTGTATAGTTCATTAATAAACACATATAGTACTGTATGGTGTTCGTCGTGTATAGTTCATTAATAAACACATTACTGTAAGCTGTTCGTCACGTATACTTTATTAATAAACACATGTTTCTGTAAGGTTTTTGTCGTGTATATTTCATTAATAAACACATGTTACTGTAAGGTGTTTGTCGTGTATACTTCATTAATAAACACATATATTACTGTAAGGTGTTCGTCGTGTATAGTTCATTAATAAACACATTACTGTAAGCTGTTCGTCATGTATATTTTATTAATAAACACATGTTACTGTAAGGTGTTTGTCATGTATACTTCATTAATAAACACATGTTACTGTAAGGTGTTTGCCGTGTATACTTCATTAATAAACACATGTTACTGTAAGGTGTTTGTCGTGTATATTTTATTAATAAACACATGTTACTGTAAGGTGTTCGTCGTGTATACTTCATTAATAATTGCATATTACTGTAAGGTGTTCGTCGTGTATACTTCATTAATAAACACATGTTACTGTAAGGCGTTCGTCGTATATACTTCTTTAATAAATACATACTACTGTAAGGTGTTCGTCGTGTATACTTCGTTATTAATCGCATATTACTGTAAGGTGTTCGTCGTGTATACTTCATCAATCAAAACATTGCTTATAAAAAAAGTAACCAATTACATGTTGATCGAATTCACGTGATTTAACTGTGGTTTCAGTTTGTGGATAACCAGACTTTGTCTGACACGGATATTGCTTTCGTCATCGACTTTGGTTAAGATCTTAAAATAATTTGAATGAAGAACTAAGCTACGTCACGTTCACCTAAGACGTATTCGAGTGAACTAGATTTGGTAGGTGCCTTGATATGCACGTGTCTTTTCTAGTGAATTTCTACAAACTCTTCTCCTAAGAAAACAAAATAAATTGACTTGTCTCAAAACATCACAGATATTGATAAAGTAAAGCAAACCGTGTTACTTGCAAAGCATTTCTTGTGGTTTCACATCTACACATGATGTCAAATGTTTGTGTTAAAACTAAGAAGCGATGACCAGAAATATACCAGTGAGATACCAATGTGGATGTTTATCTTACATAATCAGAGATTATCTCAATGGCGTAGCCAAGGGTAGGCCTGGGTGGGCCACGATCCTACCGCTAATCACCCAGGCCCACCTAATACGAGATTGCACGATGGTTCTCGTGTACTTCGTGCTTAGCGCTTTTGTTTTTAATTTTTTTTTAACTTGTCTCCAAGGGTCTATATACCTCCTGCCCGTCCATCGTAGCTTCGTGTCTACTCAAACCCTGATATTAGGCTACGCCAATGAAGTATCTAAATCATTTTTTACTGTGCAACTCGTGTAATGTTTCGAAGTTTCTTCACCTTTTTTTGTTGATGCTGTTCTTATTGTCTTTTGACTGCACAAAACATCTCGGGAGGTCATCGTTTTTGTCACACACTTACTGCACTGAAAAATTCAAATTGAGAAGTGGGTCTTACTTCGAGTATAAATTATCGACATACATTGAATTACAATTAAGTGAAAACGATTTTAATTAAAACGATTTTATTAAATGCTTATCATCAAAGCATATGAATTAGCTGACATGGTAAGTAATAAAAAAATCGTAACTCTTAATTACAAATCTGATGTCCAGTTTTTGAACAAAATCATAGATATTTCTATAAAATTTTCAATACGAAAATATTAAATATCGTTATACTTCTCACGTACGACATTAATACGGTATACCAGGTTTTTATCTCCAAGTGAAGTTTCGGCCTTGCAAGAAACAGATTTCCGGTATCCTTACTATAAGCTTTGTTTTCATCAGAGCAGCTTGATAATCTCGATCTTAATGAGTTGTACTTCCATCTAATAGCAGTAAATTACAAACACCAAGTGGAAATTAAGATAGAGGAACGTGTAGTATCAATATGCGGCGAACATTTTCAAAGAAACGAAATTGCTCGACACAACATATTTGTACACACATCCATAAAAGTAATCAAATTCAAAGCTTTTTTACTATCAGAATCTTAAGATAAGTCACATAATTCCAATAATTAAACCCATTTCTAACAGAACTACTCATTATCCAAATGACTTTGTTCTTTGAGCGATAAAAGCCCATGCAATCCGTCAACAGGGGGGCGTGAAGTCCGACGAATACTTCCAACTGACAACTCCTCGTGTGGAAACATTTACATTCGGATGTAATTATAGTTAGGAAAGATTAAATATTTAGAGCGCGTGCACCCTCTTCTTGAAAATTTATTGTCTAAATGGAGCTGACGACGGCGTGAATGTTCCTTTATTCACCACATGTCGTTTGTTCCCAAACATTCATTCCACAACTGATCTTCAAGAGCAAAGTAAATTTGTATTACAAACATGCGGAGAGATCTTACAATTCAATTTAAAATTCTGAATAGAAAAAAAAAGAATAGAAAACTATTCTATCAAAGATATCAGCGAAAATGTTATAGAACATTCAGAGAAAAAATAATAATAAGAACTTAGCATATTAAAATCATGACATATTTTTTTTTAAATGCAACATTTATCTTTCTCTCTCTGTATACATGTATGTATATGTGTAAGGTTTGTTTGTTATAGGGCAAAGCAAAATTGAGCTGTCTGTTGTGTCCACTGCGGAGAATCGAGCCCCGGATTTTAACGTTTTAAGTTCGTAAACTTATTGTTGTCTCACCGGAGGACTCTGAGGGTTATTAAGATACAAGTGAAATGCGAACAATTATGAGGACGGGTTTCAAGTAATCTACACACCAAAGATTATTTTGGTAAAATTATGACCCTATACGATAAGAAAAGCTTCCCAGTGGCACAGTGGTATGTCTGCAGACTTATACTGCTAGAAACCGGGTTTCGATACCCGTGTTGGAAAGAGTACAGATATCCTTTTGTGTAGCTTTGTGCTTAATAATAAACAATAACAAAAATGCTGTAATTCTTGAGTTAACAAATCAAGCTAAAAATATTATTTATTTTTACACATAAAATGAAATACACATCTAAATAACTTATTGTCGTTTTAAAAATGTACTTATTTTTGGGTTAACTGTTAACTTCTTAATGGAATTAGTCCATATTGTGATGGAATATTCTGTAATGTTTATTCATTTGGATCAATCACAGTAAATGCATTGTTCGTATTGGGGGATAAAACAAATATACAATGTTGGAAGCATTTGTATTTTTGTATTCATTATTATCAACCTGAACAGCATCTATACAACACACGGATTGAAAGATCAGGTCAATGACCTATAAGGTTCGGGCATAGCTCTCTCTCTCTCTCACTTCAGCAAGGATAACCAATCAGCAGCTCCTGTCGCCTACTTCATAATCCTTAACAAACAGCAGAATTGACTGTCACGATTATAACTACTCCACATCTGGAAGTTCGGAGGCTGTTAAGCGGAATATACCAGTTTTTAACATATGATTATGGTGAGAACTAGAAACAACGGGAAGTGTGTACGATTACTTCTGTTTATTATATAAAGGCTGCTTTGCCTACAATGATTTACTCACCTTCTTCTAAAATGAATTTTTATAGGAAATTAGGTGTTAAAGAAAATATTTTATTGCTAGTTATCTATATGTATGTATGGCGTAAAAGAATAAAACTATTGGCAACATCGACATAAAACTATTTTAAAATCGAATATATTTTCTTGTTTTCAATACGGAGTTAAGAAAGTTATTTGAGATTTTAATTTTATTGCAGCTTTATAATAAAAGTATATTTGTTATTAAGAAATTATCCGTATGTACTTAAGGTGACAAAATACAAAAGCCCTTCAAAAGGGTA